TCTCACAAACCATTACATCTCTTGCTTCCCGCTCTCCCTTCCCCCGCGCTGCTCTCCCCCCTTCCCCCCGTCTGTCCTTCCCCGCAGAGTGAGATGGTGCGGGAGCTGGACGGCCACGTGTTGAAGTGCGTGAAGGACCAGAACGGTAACCACGTGGTCCAGAAGTGCATCGAGTGCGTCCAGCCTCACGCGCTGCACTTCATCATAGACGCCTTCAAGGGACAGGTGGGTGACCTCTGCCAGCGTGCACCCCCGAAAAGTGTTGGCGCGGTTCTCGGCTGACATCCGCACGCTCGCTTGTCTGCGCGCATACACCGACGCTGCCCCAAGGCAGCAAGCATATTGTCGCCGCCACAGTGCATAGGCGCGTTCACTCGGTCCCCTCCAGGGACAGGGTACGTTGCCATGGCAACTGAAAACCTAAACCCTGTGGCAACAGCCATCTTCTATCTGCCAGCTAAATGTTACATTAGCATAAATTGTTTGAATGATGTTGTACACGCAGTCGCCTTTTATACGACGCTAATGAAAGGTTTTGAATTTTAAAAGAAGCTCTGGTTCCTGTGTGAGTAAATCCCAGTTCTTTGCTTCTCACACATTTGGATTTCTTTCTACACGATGACTGGGATTAGTACGTGTAGGGGCCGGCACATAAGGAACTTGCCTTCACCCTCCCTGCAGGGGTGGGCAGGGTGCGTGAAAGAATGCCCATGATCATTTGGTGCTATAATCCCAGAGACTTTCTGTGCCTCTAGGACAGCAATTTGACCAATGCTAAATGAGTGCCGTGTTCAACCTCACCGCTCGACGCTCCAGGACCGCTGTCTGTACGTCATAAATAAGTAACGTGTAATTGTGTTTATCTTTCAGGTCTTCGCCCTCTCCACTCACCCTTATGGCTGCCGAGTCATTCAGCGCATTCTCGAACACTGCCTTCCTGAACAGACGCTGCCTATACTGGAGGAGCTGCATCAACACACAGAGCAGCTGGTGCAGGTACAACACACAACGTACTGTAGCTCTCACTGCTGTCTCTCTTCCTCCACCAGTTATGCTTTTCAGCACAGAGACCAGAGGGGCTTTAAATAAAACTTCTCTAAATCTAGATTTGTGAAGTTGGCTATGTATTTCATGTGACGTCAGAAGCACCAGCTGGTGTCCTCACGTTTCAGTGAATGTGTCTGTGTGGTGTGTTTTATTTAGGACCAGTACGGCAACTATGTGATCCAGCACGTTTTGGAGCACGGCCGAGCTGAAGATAAGAGCAAGATAGTGGCGGAAATTCGAGGCAATGTACTGGGACTGAGCCAGCACAAGTTTGCCAGGTAAATTCCAGGACCAACGCATGGTTTTGATTTTATCTTTGAAACCGGTTTCTTTTTGTTTCTGCGCCATCGCTGCCAGATTTTTTTTTTTCCGTCTCTTCTTTTCACTGCACCGTGACACCTACCCCTCCCCTCCTGCTTTCAGTAATGTGGTGGAGAAATGTGTGACCCACGCCTCTCGGGCCGAACGGGCCGTGCTGATCGATGAGGTGTGCAGCCTGACGGAGGGCCCCCACAGTGCCTTATACACCATGATGAAGGACCAGTACGCCAACTACGTGGTGCAGAAGATGATCGACGTGGCCGAGCCGTCCCAGCGCAAGATCGTAATGCACAAGGTGGGTGGAAAGAACATCGTCTTTGTATGCGAATAACAATGCTGTCTTATTAGCGGTTGTTTCGCTAAAAAGTTTTCTTTGCGTGGTATTTCATCTGAAATCTTTAGCATTAGACCGATGTATTGACATCATCAGCTTGGCGCTCAGCGTTGCCTCTCGTCCTCACACAATCGCAGCCCTTCACTTACCTGGATGTCAATAAAGCTTAACGAGGTCACTGCATTCAGTGGTTTCCTAGGCAACGGCAGAGAAGCTGCGATAAGCACCAGTGATCATTGATTTCCAAATATGTGTTGGTTGATGGGTGATTTGCTGTTGTGACAGACCAAAATGCAGGGGGGGAAGGGGGAGTAAGCCTGTGTTGGAAGTGCACACTGCCCATATCCAATCTGGACACCTGCAACATGTGTGTTATTGTCTTTGTATAGATCCGGCCTCACGTTACCACCCTGAGGAAGTACACGTATGGAAAACACATCCTGGCCAAGCTGGAGAAATACTACATGAAGAACGGCGTTGACCTGGGTCCTCTCTGCGGCCCTCCCAACGGCATCATGTAAACCGATTTCCCCTCCCTTTCCAGCCGCGAAATCCTCCACCACCACCTGATCTCCCCTGCCCCCGACCTTCCACCCCATCTTTCTGGAGCCTGTTGACCTTTCAAAGGGCATCAGGCCCCCCCCCCCCCCCACAAATCCTGCTCACTGAGGACATTGAGTACCCCCTCAACCTTGTTTCTATGACAACCTTTTGGGAGGAGCCTGTTGCTACAGACAGCCTTAGTTTTTGTCAGATATGGTTGCCCCTCCCCCACCTGCGCCCAGGCCCATTGATCTGACGGAGTGAGGGAAGGAGAGCAGGGAGTGGGAAGAGATGGGACCTGTTCTGCTCATCGCTCCGCTCCCTCCTTTTTTTCTTTTTTTGTTTCCATTCATGTCCTTTGGTAAAACTCAAATCATTTCACTTTTTGCTACTGCCGCACACACAATCCTAGCGTCCCCTTCTCCTCCCATCCAATTCACCGCTACGAGATGGAATGAGTATTTAATTTGTCAGACGTCACGGAATCACAGACAACACCCGCACTCACACACTTCATCGGCTAACCAGCAGACAGATCATTTAGCATGGGAGATTCGTTTTCTGGTCTTGCTTCTATAAATATAACGTGTATACTTGGTGTAGACCTTTGCATATATATATAAATATATATATATAAAACTTTGTAGTTTTTCTGGTTTTTGATGTTGAATCTGTATCTATAATGTATCCTAGTAGTGACCACATACTTCTGACTGTATAATTGTACATTTGTAAACCCTTGTAATGTAAAAGTGCTTTACCACCCTTTTTGGTATGAGAAGGAAAAGAAAAATGTTCACTGAGAAAAATCTTAGAAAAAAAACCCTGTGCATTTCAGTGTATATTCTCACCTCCTTGGTTGTGACATATGAGTTGTTGTATATTGTAAATTGTAATATCAAATTTTTGTTTTGAAAAGCCCTTTCTATACAGCGTAGTACTTGTACAAAGATTCGCCACGCTTGGTTTTATCTTTATCTTGTCACTGCTTAACTTAAGACGTCGACCTCCCACTGACTCCCAATTGGACATGTTCTGTTAGACCTGGTGGTGTCTTCTGGTTTATGTTGAAGGTTTTGTTTTTGTTTTGTTTTTGACCTTTTTTTAAGATCTTTTTATAGGAATGCTTTACCCCACGAAATGTCGTGTGTATGGGTACGCTGGCCGGGTGGGATAAATACCTTTTACTCATTTACCCCTCCCCTCCTCTCCCCCCGCCCCTCCCACGCCCTTCTATTATTCATGACTGTTTTCAGAGGGGTAAATTGTACAGAGAAGATTCTTGTGTTTTTTGGCATTTCTCTAGTGCTGTAAGTGCTGTATCATACTGTCCATGTCCTTTTGGGTGAGAGAGGCAGCCCGCCACAGCGCGGTGTACATTTGGAGCAGCCTTGTGTATATTTACTACGAGCACACCTGTAACCATATGTGTATAGTTAACAGAACCTGTGTATGCTTATTGCCTGGGCAACTATTTTTTGTAACTCCTGTTGTAGATTGTCTCTAAACAATTGTGTGATCTTTATTTTGAAACCAAACCGAAAAAAACTTTGAAAATTTAACTGTCTCAGCTGTGCTTCATTGCGTGTCTGAGGCAAAGCGGGAAGTGTGCGCTGGTGTTTCTGTTGTCGTTATCTTAAGTGTAGATTATAAAAGGTGAGCAGTATCTGTGCCGTAGTTTCTATTCTAGCCATCCGAATGAAAGACCGAGTCAGTGTGTTGTGGAGTTTGCTTTAATTGATCCATAAAAGTAACTATATTTATTGGGCCTTTCATTGTACTACAGACTTCCTACATGAGTAGTGGACCCGCGGTTTTTAACTAGCGATCATCCGGCTATGACTAAAGGTGATGTATCAAAAAGTCAATTGTAGGCGACCAAACACTCCGGCCTATCTTGAATCAGACGGGTTGGGTCACAGGATGTTTGCAGTAGATTATAAACCTTTTGAAGTTCAGGTGTGTACCTAAAAGGTTTTGTATATCTCAGCCGGTCATAAAAGTACGATGTAAGAACTTCGACTAACACTATGACTCACCGATCTTTAAACACTTCAAAAAGTTTCTCCACAAAGTATCAACAAAGACACACCATTAAATCTTACTGTCAACTTTTCTTCTAGATGAGCCCTGTGTAAAAAGGTATGAAATATATAAGAAGCAACCCAGCAAAGATAAACTTTTAATGGAAATTTCAGATCTCAAGCAACTGGCTATTTGTGGTTTGGTAGAATTAGCAGTGTTCCGTCATGACCTATTAATAGTGATAATCAGATAATCAATTAAATGATTACATGCTCTCGTCCTTGAGCAGTGCCGTTTAGCTAATACGCGTCGTTGCCAGGCGACACAAGTAGGTTACCGTACCGAGTCGAGCATAAATGCATTAATGCTCGTTACGTAGACTCAGGTGTGACCGTGCGCTCCAGCGACGTGGTCGAGGCTCAGCCAATCACGGCGAGGCACCGCCGGCGACCCCGTTAAAGGTGCAGCCGATCGTGACGTGCAGCCGATCGCAACCACCTGAGACGCCAAAAGCAAACCGAGCCACGACCCGTCAAACGGTACACGGCTGCAGCGGGGGCGCACACGTTGCGTGTGTGTGTTTGTGTGTGTGTGTGTGTGTGTGTGTGTGTGTTTATGCCCGGTTTAAGGGCTGCGCGAGACTAAACGAACTGCAGGGGGCATCCTCGCCCTTCTTCGCGGAGATCACAACCACTTATCCGAGTCTCGTATGCATTGCAAACACACACACACACGCGCGCGCACACGCACCCCTCCTTCTGCCAGACTCCCAGGCCAAGCAGCGTCGCCATACGGAACATCCTGCCCTCATCGGAGAGAGGGGGAGGAGAGAGGGAGCCCGAGAGTAGAGAGAGAGAGAGAGAGGGAGAGAGAGAGGGAGGTCTGGCGTCTCGCGGTAGTAAATCTATCAGAAGCTCAAGTGAAGGAGACAGAGGACAGACCTGAAACCGGCAGCAGCTCGAGAAGCCTTGGATTAATAAACGCTCCACTAGAAAGACGGACGGCGGCGGGGACGCGCCGCGCGCACTGAAGTTGGGGCACGCTACCGAGACAACGACAGCAGCCGGAGCAGCTTCTGTGCCCTCCCGCCACCTCTCCCTCTCCCCGACCCCCCCTTCCTCCCTCCCTCCCTCCCTGATCCCCGTGGAGGCACCGGGACGCCGTGCCCGCGCACCCCTGACCATGAAGCTGCCTTGGCTATGGGCGCTCGCGGCGCTGCTCGCCCACACGGCCACGGTAAGCGCGAGCCTCTAGTGTCCTTTTGTTAACCGGAGAGCGGTGCGCACAGCCGCGCGGGGCATTCAGGCTCCATGCGTCTGCGTGCATGAGCGCGCGCGTGTATGTGTGTGTCTGTGTGCGTGCGTGCATTGCAGTAGAATATCATCAATGAGACAGTGACGCCCGGGGGTCGAACCTACTTATCATCCCTCATTGGACGACCGTAACTCCCCGCGAGGGGGGCCGGCGACTCCCGTGCACCCCCCACCTCCGGTTGTACGCACACACACACACACACACACACACACACACACACACACACACACACACACACACACACGAAGACACACACCAGCCTTTGTGTCTCAGTGTCGGGGTTTATTGAGCCCCCCCGCCCCCCTTCCCAAACCCCTCTCCGAGTCAAGAGGTGCGTGCATGTGTGTGTCTGTAATTAGCGGGTAATCTCTAATTGAGCTTAATTACAGGTCTTTGTGCGGAGCCTCGTAGACGAGCCCGCTCCACTTATACCGCGGCTTCAACGACTTTATAGCCGAGTGGTCGCGCTGCAGGACGTGTGTGTGTGTGTGTGTGTGTGTGTGTGTGTGTGTGTGAGAGAGAGAGAGAGAGACGGAGGTGGGGTTGTTCCAACCTGGAAGGTGCGCACACTCCCGTAACTAACAGATAACGGCGGCCTCACTGTCCGGACGCCTGAATCCAACCGGGGGCTTCCTCCCGTTGTGACCAGTGGTGTGTGTGTGTGTGTGTGTGCGCGCGTGTGCGTGTCTGTTAAAAGTGGGTGGGGTAACGAGCACGTTACCGGCGATGCGGTGCGCGAATGGAGGCGCGGATGGAATGATGTCATCGGGATTCGCGCGAGGGGAGGCTGGTTTAGGAGTACGCGAAGCTCCCACCTCCCTCTCCAGACACCTCATCTCCGGAACCATCCGCACCCCCCCCCCCCCCCCCCAATAGCACGCCCACACCTTCCGTTACCGACGAGTCCGAATTTGTCCTGTGAGGAGGAGGAGGAGGTGGAAGAGGAGGATGGGAGCGCGTTGAATCATTGAGAGAAAAGGAAGCGTGCTTAAAAATAGCCCGAATCTATTTTGGAATGTAAATGAACAGGAAAACAAGCCGATAGAAGCTTTCTGGTCTGTGTTACTACTACGTGGAGTTTACTGTTCACGGGACTGCGTTATGTTACATTCATCACCCTCGTCCTTGCTAGAATGATAACTTAAGGTCTTTTCGTTCTCCTGCGCCAAAATCTAAAAAGTGTTGAAAAAGTACCGCCATTTATACTGAATTGGCTAAAACTGCAAAAACTCAAATTTCAATGGTCCCAAAAAAATTCTAATAATTACGGGCATTGACATGCAGTGAACACCTGAGGCTTTGAAGGCCCCCTCAGGGTCTGCGGCCCAGGGGCAGGCGGCTACCTTCCCTAATTACCAGGCGCGGCAGTGAGTGGATGGCATCGTTTTCACTTTGTGAGTCTGTGTGTGTGCGAGTACTTTTCAGTACTTTGTCAGTCCCAACATTTTACAGGCAGTTGAGGGCGCCGGAATTGGCGTCTCGACCGGTGTGATCCGGCTCATTGTCTTTGCTTGGGCCAAATATTTGTATTGTCAACATATTGGAGTTCCTTTGTGCTGCTTCAGCTTTGATGCTTCACTGGTTTTAACAGAGATTTTCAACACAAAGCGCGCACACACACACACACACACACACGCAGATTATTACCGGGTCAGGTTGTTCTTTGTCGAAGATCCTTGGCATCCAGTTGACCTAATCTGTCTCTAAGTGCACGGATGGAGACAGGTGTGACACATATAGAAACATGCACACACTTAAGTGAACCTTGGGTTTGGAGCGCACAGACTGGTACCACACACACACACACACACTCACATGGACACACACTAAAACATCCACTAACACACACTCACACACGTCAACGGTCAAATAATTGCAAGACTCACCTCAAGCAGCCCAAGCCTTGATCGCACACATGACCTCACGGTCACCTGCATCTGCTGACGGCCTTTCTTTAGAGGCCTCTTGGCTTGAAACCAACTGACTCTTTGTGTGTGTGTGTGTGTGTGTGTGCGTGTGTGTGTTTCCTCTGACGAGTGATGCCTGGTGTCATGTCTCCGGGGGTATTTCCTGTTATCGGTCTTGTGACATAATTTCCGGTGACTATATTTTACATGGGAGACCGATTTTCCCACAGACATCTGTTGTAAACCAAAGCCTTTGTGTGTGTGTGTGTGTGTGTGTGTGCGCGCCTGCATCCATCTGCCTTCTCGAGAGCGCTGACTGCCCATCTGTCTGTGTGGGCTCAAAACTAGTGAATCTTCACTGCCACAAACTTGTTCTCGCCCTCGCTCCTTGAAAAGTGTGTGTGTGTGTGTGTGTGTGTGAGAGAGTGTATTTTTGGCGTAAAAGTGCTGTGTTCTTGAGGATCATGTTTAACTCACGGAATGAATCAGTGTTTTGTACCTCCGATAGCTGACAAAGCCCCCCATAGAGAGGCAGAGAAGGAGCAAGAAAGAGGAAATAATAGCCGGAGCGCGTCGTATCGGGGGAGAGTGTGGAATGTGAGAGGCGATTTGACACAGGAAGTGGGTACTTCTCACTCTCCTGGAGGACAATCTCCCCTCACACACACACACACATGCAAACTGCCAGGTAAAAACCAGCCGTGTTGTGGGAGAGGCATTTCAGGTGTGTGTGTGATAGGATGCGTGTGTGTCACCTTCTGGAGAGGAAATTAAAAAGGATCCAAGTTCATTTCCGGCGCTGCATTCAAAAGGCCGCCGTCTGGCAGTGAGCACGGACCGAGGGAGAGAATAATGAGGGCCTTCCCAGCCTTTCCTCTCCTCCCTCTTGGCTATTTATGTGCATGTGTGTGTGTGTGTGCGCGTGCGTGTGTGTACACATGCTGCTCACTCATATCTGAAAGCAATTTCTCATCACATGGCAGATGCGCCGCATCCGACTAGAATGAGCTCTTCTTTCTCACGGAGTGAAGAAAGTTTCAGAGCGGCTTTCAGCTCGGAGGGAATGAAATTCCCCATTAGCTGTTGGGCTGATAGCGGCGTGGGGAGACGGACGGAGGCCGTCTTCCACAATACCGGCTATTTCCGTGCGTAACGGGAGCTCAGAAATTGCACTAAATGCTCAGCACCCGAAGAGAAGGTTACACATCAACATGAGTGATGATAAGTCGCAGGCCGTCATTATTGTCCCTGAGGGAGATCAAAGGACATTCTAAACTAAGGCTAGACCTTTTTTTTAATCTCCAAAGCGTGCTCATGAGTGAACCCATATTTGTACATATCGCATTACAGTATTTCTTATATTCCCAATATTCCCGCCGAGCTGCAGTGTGTTTGCAGAAGGTTCCAAAGGTTCACGTCCGTCTGCCAGCGGAGGCGCGGTTTTCACCTCGTCACTCCGGCGCAGGCATCCCTCCATCGGCTACCAGGGACGCTCAAAAGTCAACATTATATCTTAGTCAATATTTGTCAGGTTGACGTAGACGTGCCGGCCCCCATAAAGGGTTGGAAGAAGTCCCCCCTCGCTGAAGAGTTTGAAGGAGAACTTATAGTGTAAAAATTGAGTACCTATGAACTTCCTACCCTCATTTCCTCATTAATCATTTGGATTTAGATGCCCAACCCCAAAGTAGTTAAATATATCTCCAATTCAACCGGCTTAAACAGCAAAATGCTGCAGATATATTGTTGCTTAATGATGTATTAGTCACAGGGGACCATTCCTGCAGAATTCGAACGATTATTTTTTACAGTTTATGTCAATTTAGGGAATAATAATTATCCCACTTAAGGCTTTCAAAGGCAGTTTCTTTTACGTGAAAACAATGTAATTTTACATTGTTGTGTCGGTATTTTTCGCTGAAATAAAGGATCTTAATGCATTTTACCTACGGATACTGAGTCAGTGTTAATGTCTCCGTTCACACTGACAGTCGCATATTAGAAAGCACCTGTTTTCTTCAATCATTTGGCTTCACAACATTGTGCAACACTGAGCCTCCCCTGTGGAATGTGTTCACGTCAACCCTCGAATTAGAAAGAACGCAGTTACAGCCGGAATTCGTCCCACTGGAAACGTTTGGCTCCTCTCGTCGCGACCAGTAACGCACGCGTACACACACGCACACACACACACACACACTCAAGTGTGGGCATGCATTGCTCTCATATACGCACCAATTAACAGTAACTAAATTCCTGATTATCTTACATGCACGCACACACACACACACACACACACACACACACACACACAGTGACGGTACTACTAAATTGTTGCGGTGCTGTGCTGCATTTTTGTTGATTCAGTGAGTCAGAGGGAGACGGAGAATGCTGGAGGTGTTTTAGGTAGGTCAAAACAGGCTAGAAACACAGCGTAGTGTAGATGCTAAACACACACACACACACAGTCTCCCTTGCAGTAATTGGGCAGCGCTGTGCAGACATACTCGCATACATATTCTCTGGAGAGGGGGGGGGGTTAGATGAATATAGAGAGAAGAAGACGGAGGGGAGTGTGTGTGTGGGGGGGAGGGGGAGATGGAAAAAAAGGGAGGTGTACAAACCACTGGATAATGAGAAGGAAGGAAAGAGTGGAGGAAATGAGTCGGAGAGAGCTAAGGATGGAAAAAGAGTTGGGGATAATGGCGAGATGAAGCTAGAGGGTTGAGCGGGAAGGAGAGAAAGAAGGGAAAACGATTGAGCGGTAGGGAGAGGACGGGAGATGGAAGGGGGGGTATAGATGGGCGATGGGGATGGACAGAGGAATACGGAGCCGGGGGTGGGAGGATGGAGGGTTGTCGAGTGAGTGGGGGGAGGGAGGCGTGCATGCGCCGCTCGCTCCCAGGAGACCGTGCTCTACCTGCTCTCAGCGCCCGTTGCCATGACAACCAGCATGGCTGCCGGTGTCACGGCTTCATTCGTTACTTTTCCCCGCTCCGTCCGCTCCGTCACCCC